GCTCTTTCCTATCTGGAAAGAGTCTGTCTGCCTTCGCAGCCTGACTGGTCTTGGCCTGGGCCCAGAAGCTTCCGGTAGGCCCCAGGATGCTGTGCCTCTGGTGCAGCTACTGGGCCTCGTTCAGTTGGGCCTCCCAACTGTCTGTGTATGAGGCTGTGAATCTCGCCCAGGGCCTGTACTTTCGGAAAAGCCTAGAAGGCCGTGGAATTTCCTTGCTGCTCGGACTGTGTTTCGTCAACCAACTGGCGCGACGAAACTGCCTGGACCCCAAATACGAATTCGACAGCTTATGGCCTCTCGTGATTTGTTAGGCCCGCCTTCACTTAGGGCGGGCACATTTGCAGCAGGGGCCCCTTAGGCCTGCCGAGGACCCAGATCCTCGCAAAAATGAAAAGAAATGAAAAAAAATCGTCTTTGATTTTCATAAATCTATTAAACTAATATAATATGATTTTGTGGTAGGGTCTCAGCGAAACTTTTACATCACATATACTTTTTGGATTTTTTTGTTCTTTGCGGGCATTTTGTAGTTTCTTTTTTTTTCCTTTTTCTTTTAGAAACGCCCAGGTTGTTATAGAGGCAGGGTATCAGGCACGGGAGTGCTCTCCCGGGGTTCAGTCACTCGAAGTTCAGAATGACCCACTTGGCCTCTGGACCTACAGATCCAACCTCCAGCTGGATGATTCACGGGCCCACTCTATGCAGTTTTGTCCCCCAGCCATTGACTTAGCAGATCCCTGGCTGATCCCCCCTTGGTCAGGCGTAGAGGGCCCAGCTCCCTCCTTTTAATATACAGTACATCCCCCTCTAACCTATCCTACCTACTAAACAGCAGACAGGCTCATTACTAATCCTTAACCGAGCTGCACTTTATCAGCGTCCTCTCGACTAGTCCCTCCAGCCCCTATACCCATCTCATAGCCAACCCTTGCTTGGTCCCTGGTGGTCCCCGAGGAACCTGATGATGGGGCTATGAGAGTACCCCGATGTCTATACACTGCCTAGAGACGACCAACCAGCCAAGTGGTCCTAATCCATGAGACAAGCATCGACTCGCACCTGCTGGATATCAGAGAGACTCTAACTACTTGGATTACCTCAGGTAGTATTTCAACCTACGATGCGACTTCCCACCCACCCATGCGGTCTCCGCAGGTGTCCCATGAGGCCACTGTATGTGAGTCAACTACTCCCCTCGAGCGGCAAACTACCCATTAAGCAACCTCAACTATTCAACCCTGCCTACCACAATGTTCCTGTACCCCTTCCCCCCCCCCACACACTCCCCCAAGATGAGACAGCCTTACCCTCGTGGCTCGAGATGCACACGAGGGGGGACCACCCTTAGACATAGTACTCTCTGTGCCACACCCTCTATGAGAGCCCCCATCTAGCCGGGAAACACAAGTGATACCCAGACACCGAGATAGTAGTCCCCCAGGGGGAGGCAGCGAGTAGTAGTCTAGGGGTCCTGGTGCCTGCAGATCATACTACGGTTAGTACGACTATGTACTAGCGAGGTTCGAGCAGGGTTCAATGGGGTTCGTCAAGGCTTCGATATCCAGTACCAGGTAAGCCTATTACACTGCAGGTTCTAACCGGGGCTTACAACCACAGGTGCAAGCATAGCTATGACCAGATCCCACAGTGCGACATTCTACTCATGAAATAGCCCTATGCAGTAACCCAAGCAGTCAACGTGAATCCTGAAGGCGCCTAATGGGTTCGTACATGTGCACCCTATGTTCCCCCCCTCCCCGCCCCCCACCCCACCTCCCCCATGGAGTGACAACCAGAAGAGACCTGAGATGATCAGAACAACGAACAGACCAAGACCCGAAAAGCCCTCGCCCAAGCCCATTCCAGCATACAACAACCATGGATGAGGACCCCTTGGGCAGTGCGCAGGCCACCATGCGTCGTCCCAAGAGGGGTGTGTGAATGGCTGGGCGCTATGAAAGCGCCTAACCGCGGACATGCGCGAGGCCGCAGAGTTTTGAACATGGTAACGGACCGGACGTCCGGACTGGGTTCCAGACAGTCTGGAACAACATGTCCGGGTCCTGTGTCCTGTCCGTGATGTCGGGATGGAGGCCCCCAGGGCAAAAATCGAAAAAGAAAAGGGGTGGCCCAGGACGTTTTTCGGACCCTGAGTGCCTCTTGAAAAATAACAGGTTGATTTTTCAGTGTCATTTCACCCCACTGGACAGGGCCTAGAGCTCCAGACACAAGACACTGCAGGTTTTTGGGGTGGCGGGTTTCACACAGGCCCGAGCAATTTCATGAAACGGTTTCACCCAGTTGACACGACAGTTGCAGACACTGAGATTCGATCCCTAGACCTATGCCTGAACCCTGTATATTGACCCTGTGTGCTGAGTGAGATTCGATCCCTAGACCTATGCCTGTGCCCTGTACAATCACCGGGTGACTGTGTGAGATTCGAACCCTCGACCTGCCCTGTGTCATAGGTTAGGCTGTAGGAAGGGAAGTTGGGCTTGATCCCTAGGTCTGTAGGTTTTTACTTAAGTCTGTTACCATTAGTTTGCGAAGGTCTGTTCTAGAAGTCTCTACTTACCCCTTCGTAGGCCTAAGAGTCAGTCCGTAGGCTCTAGGTTCCAGAAGAGTCTGTCCGGAAGAGTCTGTCTGAGTCAGCAAGTTCCAGGGTAAGGGCTGCACATGGGGGAAGGTTCAGGCCACGCAGTATGCAGAAGGCTCCGGAAACGCGTTCTGGGGCCACACGTTTTTGCCCAAGGGCCCAGGCTTACGCGGTCTGGAAGTTTCCAGGCCCAGGGCCCCACGCGTTTTGGCCCAGGCCCCACTCGTTTTGGCCCAGGCCCACGCGTTTTGAGGCAGGGCCCGGTCACCACCGAAGAAGTATAAATAAAGAGGCAGCGTCCAGCCATTCATTCATTCACCTGGGAGCCATGCGGAAGTGCTGCCTCAGTGACTTGTGCGTGGAGGTCTGCAGGTGGCCGGAGAGGAAGGGGGCAGCAAGCAAGACAGTGGCCATAGCTGGCCAGTGAGGACGACGACGGGCCATAGCTGGAGGAAGGAAGACGACGACGGCCGTAGCCGCCCAGCTGTTGGTGCAGACAGAGTGTACAGAGTGTGTGTGTCTGTGTATCGTGGACATTCAGGGCGATCCTCGTACATGCGTGCATGAGGGAGAGTGAGGCTGGTGGTGAAGAGTGTTCGGCGGCCATAGCCGCAAGTTGTGCAGTTGTCTTGAACATAGTTTAAGTGCAAATTCGTTGTTGATTCTGAGTTGACGAGTTTGGTTTTGCCATCAGTTCTCGTGTGTGCATGGTGAACATGTGCACCCTATGTCCCCCCTCCCCCCCACCCCCCACCCCACCTCCCCCATGGAGTGACAGACAACCAGAGGAGACCTGAGATGATCAAAACAACGAACAGACCAAAACCCGAAAAGCCCTCCCCGAAGCCCATTCCAGCATACAACAACCAATGACAAAGACCCCTTGGGCAGTGCGCAGGCTGTGTCTGTATAAACTTACCATGCGTCGTCCCAAGAGCGGTGTGTGAATGGCTGGGCGCTATGAAAGCGCCTAATGGCGGACTTGCGCGAGGCTGCAGAGTTTTGAATATGGTAACCAACCGGACGTCTGCACCGGGTTCCAGACAGTCGGGAACAACATGTCCGGGTCCTGTGTCCGGTCCGTGATGTCGGGATGGAGGCCCCCAGGGCAAAAATCAGAAAAAAAAAGGGGCGGCACCTGGCTGCCTCTTGAAAAATAACGGGGTGATTTTTCAGTGTCGTTTCAACCCACCGGACAGGGCCTGGAGCTCCAGACACAAGACACTGCAGGTTTTTGGGGTGGCGGGTTTCACACAGGCCCGAGCGATTTCAAAGCGGCCATTTCGACATGCCGCCCGCCGCTGCTGCCCGTTGGAGAGAGAGAGAGAGAGAGAGAGAGAGAGAG